GACACGAAATGGACGAAGCTGTAGACAAAGGGTTTACACCTGGAACCTCCTTCAAGGAAAAGCTCACAGGTTTGGAGGAAACGAACATACCTCAAGACCACAAAGGGAGTAAGGTAATTGACGATGCGTGGAATGATTATATAGCTAACCTTAAAAGCTTTTTTGTGCAGGAACCAACAGGAACCACCCCTGGACATGAAGAATATGACGAAGAGGACTGCCCTACCTTCAAAGTCACGCAAGAAGAATATGAGCTTTGGTGCGCGCCATGGCGAAAATCTCTAATAATAAAGCTTATGGGAAAATCTATCTCACTAAGAGGGATGAAGAGTAGTCTGGCATATATCTGGAAGACAAACAAATCGTTCACAACTAGAGATCTTGACAATGGCTTCTTTGTGGTCTCCTTTGAAGATGAGGAGGATATGAATTATATCTACCAAGAGGGACCTTGGATGGTAGGAGATAGATATCTCTTGGTTCAACGCTGGCGGCCAAACTTCGATCCTTGGTGTGCTGAGGTTCAAAAGAAAATCGCCTGCTGGATCAGAATACCCCTTCTTCCTTTAGAATTCTTCAACACAACCAGCCTAAAGCGAATGGGCTCTCTGATCGGGCGCACACTGAAGATAGATATGATAACTCATACCAGTGAAAGAGGTCGATTTGCGCGGATATGCGTCGAGATTGATCTCCAGAAACGTCTTAAGTCGGCTATCAGTATTTTTGGCAAGAGAAGAGTCATTGGTTACGAAGGACTTCATCTAATCTGTTTCTTGTGTGGTAAATATGGTCATCACAGAGATAATTGCCCAAACAAGGAAGTATGCAACGAGTGCCCAACACATATTGGTTCAGATCATCAACATCAGAAACACGAAACTATGAAGAAGCAGCAACCAAGCAATACAGAAGAGAATGCCGTTAAGTTAGCGACAGGGAATACGGAACACACAGCACAAACTGGGGAACCCCAGAAATGCCACCGAGATATGGAAAAAGGGAAAGAAGTCACCGGCGCCGGCGATACGCCATGCACGACCAACTACGGGATCTGGAACATCATCCAACGGTCATCGCGACGTCGATTTGGAAACTCCGAAAATCTTGGGATGCGAAATTACGTACAGGAGCGATCTAAGCAACCCAATAAGGAAGGGCAGAGTCCGAGGAGGAACATATCTGATCCTAAAGGAGATCCCAGAAATGAGGCACGCATATCACGGGGTTTTAATGATAATAGTGGTGAGACCCGATCTGTGGGGAGAGATAGTGTCATACAGCGGCGGTGGGTCCCGGTGAATCAATTCATATCCAGAGGAGTGAAAGAAGGGAACGTCAACGAGGCTTCTCATTATGAGACACTGAATGAAACGAGACCGAGTCCTACATGGATTGATAAACCCAGGCCCAACTTTCTCTGCTCGCCTAATCCATTTGCTCCCCTTGAAAATGGGTCTCAAGATGACGGGTCTACTATGATGGACGAGGGAGATAACACATTTAACCAACGCAACGATAAAAGAGAAAACATGACGGTCGAAAAACAGAGCGGGGTAGAGGGCACTGAAAAGCAAAACTTACGCGTAAAAAACAAGGCGGATACGACCGATATGATGAAACTCTCTCATCAGAACCTTGCTATTTCTTCTATGGGGCCTATAAGCGAAGCACCCCAAAAGGGAGAGATTAAATGAATTGCATCTTTTGGAATTGTAGAGGGACTGGATCCAAAGCATTTCCGGGTCTGATTCGCGAAATACAAAGACGCTATAAAGTAGACTTACTGGCCTTATTTGAAACAAAAGCCAGTGGAACAAAAGCGTGTCAAAGAAGCTCAAATCTCGGTTTCGCAAATGTGGAACTTGTGCATGCTAATGGATTCAGAGGTGGTATCTGGCTAGCTTGGAATGATAGGGAGTTTAAAATTACTGTGCTTGAAAAATTCGAACAAGGAATTCATGCTGTGGCGGAACGTGGAATCGATAAATTGTTTATCACTTCAGTTTATGCAAGTCCTAATCCTATGATGCGCAGAAGACTTTGGAGTAAACTTCAAGAGATTTGTCCAGATAGAAGATGCCCCTGGATCATAGGGGGGGATTTTAACGCTACGCTTTTCCTAAATGAACGAAGGTCTACTTCTAAACATCCTAGCACTGTAGACCATGACTTTTGCAACTGGTTTGAAACAATGGGTCTGGTTGACTTACGGTGCCATGGCCCTTTCTTCACGTGGCGTAGAGAAAACTGTGAGAGCCGCATAGACCGGGTACTTGCCAATACCCGTACTCTAGATGTCTTTCCTGATACTTCTATTAAGCATTTACCCTGGTTTAAGTCAGATCATAGGCCCATCCTATTCCAATCTAAGGCCAACGACAATAACAAAACTATCAACAGACCTTTCCGCTTTATGGCTTCTTGGGTTCTGCATGAAGACTTTGCGAGATTGGTTAAGGAGACGTGGCTCCCTAATGCCAACTGGTCCGAAAACGTTGATAATTTCACAGTTAACGTGAAGGGATGGAGTAAAGAGGTATTTGGTCACTTGGGAAGAAAGATCAGACATGTGATGGGTCAACTTGACGGAATCACCAGAGCAGTCCTTTCTTCGGGGCACTCTTCCTCCCTTGAGCAGCTCCAACGAAGCCTATGGCTTGAGCTTGAAGAACTCCTTATTCAAGAAGACCTTCTTTGGGCCCAAAAAGCAAGGTGTAATTGGTACTCATTGGGAGATAAAAATACTAAATACTACCATGCTAGAGCCAACGGAAGAAGACGGAGAAACAAAATTGAAGCTCTCAAGAACGAGGGAGGTGACTGGACAGATGATATAGATGAAATCAAACAGGTGGCAACAAACTTCTTTATTGATCTATTCACTTAGGACTTTGATACTTCTTGTGACTTTCAGACACCAGTTACCTTCCCTGACTGGAGAGATGCCTTAAGCTGCTTGAATAAAGAAGTCTCTGATGAGGAAATTAAAGCGGCTATTTTTAAGGAGCCTTCAAATCCCCGGACTGGATGGGTTGAATGCCCTCTTCTTTCAAAACCAGTGGGAAACCCTTGGCTCTTCTGTTACAAAAACTGTTAAGCAGGCTTTTATCGATCCGTTAAAGATCCGGAGCATAAACCATACCTTCATAGTCTTTATTCCAAAGAAGGACAATCCGGAGAGTATACGTGACTTTCGCCCAATTAGCCTCTGTAATGTGATTTATAAAGCCATTACCAAGGTTATAGCCAACAGAATCAAAACCATTTTACCTACTGTTATCTCTCCCAACCAGTGTGGATTTGTTCCCGGTCGAACCAGTTCTGATAATATTATTGTCGCCCAGGAGGTCATCCACTCTATGAAAAATATGATAGGGAAAAAAGGTTTTATGGCCATTAAGATTGACCTTGAGAAGGCTTATGATCGCATTAACTGGAAATTCTTGATGCATTGTCTAGAAGAACTTCAGCTACCTAGTATGCTTAAAAATGTGATTGCCGAGTGTATCTCGTCCCCCTCTATGCAAATCTTATGGGAAGGAAGCAGAGCTAACAGTTTCTCCCCCTCAAGGGGCTTAAGACAAGGAGATCCAATCTCTCCCTACCTGTTCGTTATTTGTATGGAAAAGCTTGCCCACCTTATTCAGATGGAAGTCGATAAAGGAAGATGGAGACCCATAAAACTGAGTAAGCATGGCCCCCCTATCTCTCACCTGTTTTTTGCTGATGACCTTTTGATTTTTGCAGAAGCAACTATGAACTAGGTAGAGACAATCAAGAACTGTCTAGAAGAGTTTTGCAGGGCTTCGGGACAGCAAATCAACAGAAGCAAAACAAGAATCTTCTTCTCCAAAAATGTCAATCATACAAGAGTGGATCAATTGAGTCAAACCTTAGGATTTACCCCCACCCCAGATCTCGGGAAATACTTGGGCATACCGCTGCATCATGACCGAGTCACGTCAGGGAAGTATCAATTTATTATTGACAAAATTCGATTGCGGCTTAGCAACTGGAAAATTAATAAGCTCTCTTTTGCAGGAAGGGACACTTTGATTAAATCAGTGGTCGCTGCTATTCCTAATTACATCATGCAGACCGTAGACCTCCCGGTGAGCACGTGCAACGAGATAGAGAAAAAGGTGAGAGACTTCCTATGGGGATCTTCTGATAAACAGCACAAGATGCACCTGGTTTCATGGAACTCCATCTGTGAGGATAAGCGAAAAGGAGGATTGGGCATGAGACATATAAAGCAGCAAAACAAAGCCTTCCTTATGAAACTAGGATGGGGTCTTGTGAAAGACAGAGACTCTCTTTGGGTTAAAGTTCTTTGGGGAAAATACGGTTGCGGTGCAGACACTATCCCAACCATCAATACCCGAAAGCAAGGCTCAAACACGTGGCAAGGAATTAAAAAGACTTGGCAACAAATACAAGACGGCATACAACACGTCCAGGATCGGGATGGAAACAGTCATGTCCGATGGAGATGGGAGAAACACGTTAAATTCACCATTAAATCAGCTTACAGATTGCTAAACGCCGAGAATGCTCCATTTAATGGCCATTAGTCCCAGATCTGGAAATTAAAAGTCCCTCAGAGATGCAAAACATTTGCCTGGCTCATGACTCATGAAAAACTACTCACCAACAACATTAAATGGAAACGTGGCTTACACCTGGACAGTAAGTGCAGCAAGTGTAACATGATGATGGAGGACAACCTACATGCTGTTCGAGACTGCTCTCTAGTCCGAAACCTTCAGAATACAGTTGTAAAACCGACCTACCGCAATAAATTCTTCAACACGAGGTCGCATGGGTGGATACATATGAACCTGACAGAGAAAGTGGGACAGAACAGCGAGTACTGGAAAGGATTATTCATTGTTATATGCTGGTTAATCTAGAGAAACCGTAATGAAAGGTACCATTCAGCAACTTCCATCTCGCTTGACATTGTCGTTTCAAAGGCAAGCAGTATCCTGAGAAGCATGACTTCAGCAACGACCAAGCTTAAAGGTACGCGTGACAGACTACAGAACCAGATACCACCCGGTGATAAAACTACTATGGAGGTTGATGGAGCGTACTCTTTCAGACACAACATCGCGGCTTACGGAGGGGTAATTAAAAGCGCAGGAATGACAGCACTGGAAGGCTTTATGATGAAAATAGACGCAACTGATAGCCTGGTAGCAGAATTATGGGGATGTTTAGTGGGTCTTAAGAGAGCCTGGGATGCAAACTACAGAGAGATAATCCTGAGAACGAACTCGGTAGAAGCAATAGAACTAATCTATGGAGAAAGCAACGACATGCACGAAGACTGGGTGCTGATAAGCGAGATTAAAGAGATGATTAATAGAGACTGGCATGTGGAAATACATCATATCGACCGTCAGAACAATGGCCATGCAGATACTCTTGCTAAGAAGGCCCTAAATGGTGCTTTTGGCCTCCAAATTCTGGGCCCGAATGCACTATCTTACATTTTATCTTCAGTGTAGAGTAGCTAGTTTTCTTGTTTTTCGACGTATCAAAAAAAATATTGTGCTTGACATTATATATGCATAAATAAATCCAGATTTCATATTCATTATTTGGCTAACTATTTATTTGCTGAGAACATTCCATTTGGTGCTTTCGTTGACCAACTACTATCATGGCAGAGGCTACACATTTCAAAGACATACAAGGTGAGGTGAAAAATGTGCAGGTTGAGGTGAAAACTTATTAGTACATGGACCAGGTAGAGAAGTCATCAAAGGAAAGAAATGGATGGCATTGAGGCTAATACTAACGCTGGGTTTGATTGGTTGGAATTGACTTTAGATGTTCTGACAAACACTACTTAGCCTCGTTTTGACAAGCTAGAAATGGTGATAGAGAACTTGGGTAAGAATTTGGGCTTGTCGAGCCGCAACTATGAGAAAATGGGAGAGACTTCACATACTGGTGGGGTTCATCTTGGAATGGTCCCTTTGGTTCTGCGAAACCCATTAAACTAGACTGCCCAAAGTTTAGTGGGTGTGGATCCAACTACTTGGATTTGTAGGGCGGAACAGTACTTTGGGTACTACCATACACCAGATATACAGAGGATCATCATCGTCTCTATGAATTATGAAGGAGAGGTTGTGTCGTGGTTTCAGATGCAGTAAAAAGCAAGGATGATTAAGAGTTAGAATTCATTAGTAAGTTCAATAGAGAATGAATATGGACCATCTCCATATGATCAACCTCAAGTTTGTTTATTTAAGTTAATGCAAGCAGGGTCAGCTGATGAGTACTGCAGGGAATTTTTGACTCTGGCCAACTAAACAAAAGGAGTGTTTGAAGAAGCACTATTGGATTGTTTTACGGGTTGGTTGAAACCTGATGTCAAACATTATGTGGTGAGTCAAAAACCATATGATATGATGAGGGCGGCTGAGTTGGCTAAATTGTTTCGTGGTAAAATTGGAATCCTAATAGAAACAAACAAGCCCAATGCGTGATGCCCAAGTAGCGGGGATTCTAAACCCTTCACTACTGTAACTAGCAGTATGGCTTCTTCATCGCCAACAGCAAACAGTAATCTCCCTCTCCTATTACCCACTCCATTGATGAAACTGATGACAACTGTCAAACAAATGTCACCTGTGGAGATATTGATGCAAAGAGAGAAAGGCTTGTGTTATACATGCGATGAGAGGTTTTCAAGAACTCATCATTGTCCTAAAAAACAGTATATGTTGATGGAATCTGACGACAATGAAGGGGATGCATCGGAGATGATGGAACATGTTATCAATTGAGGGAAAGAGGAAGCTATGAGTATCCATCATCTTTCTCTTCATTATTTTCACGGACAATAAGGTAAAGCTACCATCTGATTTGAAGGGTCTATACATGGATCGGTGGTACAAGTTCTATTGGATAGCAGCAGCTCTGATAGTGTCATTTATCCACGGATTATCACATATGAGATTACCTGTTGAAGTGGTGGGTCATGTGAGAGTGATGATTGGAGACAGACATTCCATGAAAGGTGAAGGCATGATTTGAGTTCTCCCTGTCCAAATAGAAGGTCACATGATTGAAATTCTTACTTTTGTACTGCCCATTGTGATGTCAAACATGATGATTGGGGCTTCTTGGATGGCTACTTTGGGTTTGCATTTGGTCTATTATATGATTGGGAACTCTAGCATAAAATTCTTCAATAATGGGACCTTCGTTACTCTTCAAGGGAAAGGTCAACCGTCTATCACAATAGTAGAATTTCATCATTTGCAGCGTCTAGTGCATATAGATGCAGTGTTAGAATTTTTCATGATGCACTTGGATATATAAGAAGAGAACAAGCTGCACTTGGACGAGAATATACCTGGGGATATGCAAAGTTTGTTACAAGGCTATAAGAAGGTTTTTGCTAAACCTAAGGGGTTACCCCAAACAGATCACAGAACATCAGATTTTGTTACAAGAAGACATGAGGCCAGTCAAAGTGAGACCTTATCAGTATCCTTTTAGCTAGAAGGATGAGATTGAGAAGATGGTTAGTGAGTTGCTCTAGGAAGGGTTGATTCAACCTAGTAATAGCTTGTTCTCTGCTCCTGTTATATTAGTCAAGAAAAAAGATGGTACGTGATGGTTTTGTTTTGACTACCAAGCTCTTAATGTTGTCACGATCAAGGACTCTTCCTATGCTCACAGTGAATGAATTATTGGACGAATTAGGGGGCTCCACTTACTATTCTAAATTGGACTTATGATCTGGGTATCACCAAGTACTGATGTATGTTGAAGATAGAGAAAAGACAGCTTTTAGGACCGATCAAGGCTTATATCTAACAAATGCGCCAGCCATATTCCAAGCTCTTATGAATTTGGTTTTTGGACCATTCTTACCCAAATTTGTGTTGATATTCTTTGATGACATCTTGGTCTTTAGTACAAGTTGGCAACAACATTTTGCAGCATGTGGAAGAGGTTCTGAAATTAATGGCTGCTCATCAACTCTTTGCTAAATTATCCAAGTGTTCCATTGGCCGAACCACAGTGGAGTACCTAGGGCATGTTATATATTTATATATGTTTGTGTGCAGCCAGTTATGTGTATGGAAAATCTAGAGTTTTGGAAGTCAAAATCCTATGTTTTGTTTTGTATAGAATTGAGTGTCGAAGAGATTGGGAAAATATGTAATGGGTATTGATGGTCCCTGTTAGAAAATCACAAGTTACAGGTTGTCGGATTTGACCGTTAGTCATTAAGAGGAAATCAGATTCCTTTCCTAATATACCAACCCAGACTCACGCCTCCCTCTACGTGATTTCATTAGAATTTATGATTTATGATAGGAATATTTTCTTTTATTTTGATTGATTGTAATCAGATTATAGGAAGTGTCCGTCACCTATATATACCTATATCGATTCTCGTAAAACAATATACATGAATTATTCAGTGAATTACAAGATGGTATCAGAGCATTAGGCAACGAAAATGGATTCTGAAAATTTCCCACCTCTGTTTGGAAGTATTCGGCCGAACCAGGGAGCATCGACTCCAATCCTGACAGCGTATATGTCGGGTTCAGCTTCTCAAAGTGGGTCAACGGTGACCCAATCCACAACGGGTCCTACTAGCTCTAATGCATCACCGAACTCGCACGTCTCATCGGCCACAACAGAGTTTGCTCTATCAACCGAAACCCAGACAATGACAATCGGGCACAAACTGAACGAAAGCAACTACATGCAATGGTCGCAGAGCGTTCTTATGTATTTAAGGGGCAGACGCAAAGAAAAATATATCAATGGAGAAGCACCTCAACCTTCTCCAACGACACGACTTTTGATACTTGGTTTGCTAAAAATAACTAGGTCATGACCTGGTTATGTAACTCAATGACGTTAGAAATCAGTGAACGTTACCTGCTATTGGGAGTTGGACCTTGTGTGTTTGGTATGGCTCCAATAAATTTAGAAGATAAAATTGTGTATGGTTAGAGAGGAAAGGATTTATAAATAAGGAAAAAGGCAAAAGGAATTAAAGCAAGAAGCCAGATTACTAAATGTTGTTTATAATATTGGTTAAGACTATGTTTTTATATAAATGTATTAGATTGTGCGGATTAAGAAGGGAAGATATTTCAAGTGCTTTCAAATATATAGTATAAATGTAAAAATATTGTCCAAGATTACCAACTATTTAATAAAAAGAATAGAGTTCTTGAGTGGGTTAAGAGAGACTATATTTTCATTAAAAATATAAATGGATTAACTGTTGACCCATCTCCATATAAACCTACATTATAGGATTTGACATTTGTCTGAGCTCACCAAGAAAGCACGCAAGAAAGAAATCAAGAGAAGGTAAAGTTCAAGAAGGGGATTCAGGTAGTGACACTTTCCCTCTTATATACTTATGTAATAGTTTTGTGTGTCTGTTTATGTCATAGTATCTATATTCTTTAGTGAATATATGGTAGATATGTTATCTGATGAACAATTGGTAGTTTGTAGAGCTGTACTCAAGTAAGAGTATGTGAAATTTGCTTTGCATTAAGCTCGTAGAGCTGTGCTCAGTTATGAGTATGTGATGGTTGCTTTGCGTTGATTTAATTGCCATGGCCATGTTTGCTGCAAAGTGTGTGATGTATGAGTATCGTTAATTATATTTGGTTGCAAAGCTTATGATGTATGATCGCTGCTAATTATTATGCTTGGTAGCAAGGGCTATTGATATAGCTTGTGTTTACATGCATTTATGAATTTTGCATAACTGTATGATGGACTACTATTACTATTGAGATTCCTAGAATCTCACCCCTTCCTTCTATGACATATAGCGAAGGCAAGTGACTCAAAGAACAAGAGTAAATTGATAGAAACAAGCTAAAAAGGTTCGAGCTGAAGTCAATAGTATAGTTGGTCATATATAAAATATTTTTGTTTTTTGTTTTACCTATTTGGCTAAAGTATACTTTTGGTTCTGTAACTTTACATAAAGTTTTATTTTGATCCCTTAACTTTAAAAAATAAACTTTTAGTCCTCTAACCCTAGAACTGTTAACAAAAATTGATGATATTGATCTCTTAAATGTTGATAAAACATTACTAAATACTATAATATTAAGTTTAATTTTTAAAACAATCATGATTGTTACAAAAAATCATTTAAGACCAATAATTTTAGAGTTAAAAGACTAAAAGTATACTTTTTAAAGTTAAGAGATTAAACTAAAATCCTACATAAAGTTAAAAAACTAAATGTATACTTTAGTTTTACGTATGTAACTGTAAATATGTAAGAGATTACGGGTTTTGCATATACTTCCATAAGGAGGAGAGCTGCTTTGGTAGCCTACAAGTAAGTGCCATTTGCACTGATGGCTATATAATGGTAGTTCAATAGTGATATCAATAGTTAATTCTATTTATCTTTCGGAATAGAAAAGAGCAAGTGTATGCAATATGCCTAGGAAGAGTATAGTAGCTTGAACGGAGAAATGGTTTTATT